CTTTGCACAGAGGTTTCCTGGATGCAGGAGGGACTGGGGTTGGCTGCTCAGACCTTGGCTAGCCTAGCCAGGGGCAGTTGCAGGAGGTGACCCTCTCAGTTTCCTGAGGTCAGTGAGATCAAGCTTCACCTGGAGAGGGTGGTGCACTTGTGTGTACCCCAGGTGTCTAAGTGAGACAAGCCAGTGAGCCAGGACAAGTGGAGTACAGAAACTGCGACAGACAGCTGAACAAACTGACAGTACAGTTTACGGCAGATACAAGTCGCCTCCCTAGAGATAACATCTAGGCCTCAGTTGTATTTCAGTTCAGACCCAGAAAAGCAGTAAAATCAGGTGGGCATACCAGGACCAGCTGCAATGACTGACGACCCCCCTGCCCTGACACTGACCAATCAGTGGAGACCAGGGCCTTGGAGGAGCACACCTAGACAACTGATGAATATCCTGCTAAAACCCTCCCCTGAGACCTCTCCTAAGATTCCTGTCTGAAAGAGAAATAAATGCCTCAAGACAAAGGACCCAACACGTGCTCTCCCTCTGGGGAGCACCTCCACCCTGCCATTGCCTTTTCCCTCTTCTTCCACAGGCATGCATCTCCTAAACTCTCAGGGACCCCATGAGACTTGCAACCAGGGGAGCAATGGGCAGCGGCGGCTCATCACAGGCTAGTCCCCTGAACCTGTCTCTAAGGCCCCCTTTTCTCTGACTTCCCAGAGAGCCAGGGCAGCCCAGCCTGGGCTCTCCTGTTGCTTCTCCTAAATATAAGCTCTTTCTTGTTCGACTGTCCCCAGCTTTAGTCATAGTGACCTGGACTAGTGTGGTAAAATTTTTCCTGCACAAAGTCAAGGACCCTGGTCAAGAACCCATACACTGCCTGCTGGCCCCAGGCAGACCTGCTCAGGGCCAGGTCCCCTTTCCAGTAACATAAGGGCCTGGCTCTATCTGTCTGCCTGTTTTCTCATGTGTAACCATGTGCCTCACTTGCACTTTGGTGTGGGTTTGCATGTATGCAGCCCATGTGTTTGTGTGTCCCTGTGAGTGTCTGTACATACTTGAGCATGTGACTGTCTGTGTGTTTTCCCATGTGCCTGTTTGGGCATTTTTGTGTTTGCAGGCATGTGAACCTGTGTGTCTCTGTGGACATGCCCCATGTCCACACACGTGCCTCTGAGTCGGCTGCTGAGAAAATGCAGAGATGAGTCCTGGGGGACAGCTTGAGATGCTGAGTCCTGGGGCATCTGCCTGCTCTGTCCTCTCCTGATTCGCCAGGTATCCTAGCGACGCTGTGCCAGTCACCTAGCAACCAGGTCCCTATCCTTGGAGACGGATGCTCAGACAAGGTCTGGGATGTGTGGGCAGAGCCTGTGCAGGAAGACCGACCCCATGACTGGGTGGGGCTGACGACTCAGCTGAGGGGTCCCACACATGGCATGTGACCCCAGTATTAGGAAGGAACTTCTCCATGGGGGTTGTCAGCTGTGTAGTTGCTGAGGGCCCAGGTGTGAGGGAATGATGCTCAGATGTTACTCTGGAACCCAACTGTGGCACAGACCTCCTTAGTGTATCTCAAAGTGACACATAGACCTGGGTTCAAACCCTGTCTCTGCTACTTTGACAGGTGGCTTCACACTTCTGAGTCTTAATGCTTTCGCTGCACAAAGGTGATACAGAGAGCAATGGCCAGGTGTGGTGTGGATGGATGAGCTCATGTTTGTGACTGGCTTGGAGCCAGGAGGCATGTGGGGCATACAGTAGGTACACAGGGTGAACAGGAGAGTCCAGGTATCCTGCTTGTTGACAAGACTCTGATCTCGCCCCGCTGGGCGTGGCTCAGCGGTTGAGCGTCCACCTAGGATCCAGGCGATCAGGGTTGGATTCCTGGTCAGGGCACATGCCCGGGTTGCGGGCTCGATCAATGACTCTCTCATCACTGATGTTTCTATCTGTCTCTCTCCCTCTCCTGTCCTCTCTCTGAAATCAATAAAGATATATTAAAAAAAAAAAAAAGACTCTGATCCACTCAAGACTGGCCAGGTAAGGCACTGCAGTGTCCACCCACCTGCTGGCCTGCTGTGGCTCAGCTCCCTTGGGAGCCTCAAGCAAGGCTGGTCTGAGTCTGTCCAAGGCCATCTCTGCATGTAAGACATGGCCTCATACTGTGTCCCAGTCTGTGTGTTTTGTGTGCACCTTCCCATGTTTCTGTCCCATGTCTGTGTGTGTCTCCATTTTTCCTTGTGTGTGTGTCTGTCCCGTGTGCCTGTCCCTGCGTCTCCATGTGTCCTCCTGTTTGTCTGTCCACATGTCTGAGTTCCTGTCTGCATCTGTGTTCCTGTGTCTGTGTCCCAGCCTGCTCGGTCTGGGCTCTGTGGGTCTGAGCCTGTCTCTGTCACTGACCTCTAAATGCGCGCCCTAGTCCCTGTGCCTGCCCCTCAGGTGGGGTCTGGCGGCCCCTGGCGGCCCCCGGCG